ACCAGTCCGTCCTTCCGTCAACATTTTGGACTACGATTAACGTAAACTCAGGAACCGTTTGACCACAATGTTTTGAAAATTGGGTATAGTTGTTACTGTATGGGAGAGTTTGAACGTCCTATTTTGGAGCACGCTAGACTCGCCAGTGTAATAATGACTTCCTTTAGCCGTCTGATTTCCGTGATGATCGATGAGTGGGCCTACGTAACTATATATAGAGATATCGCTGAAACGCATACATCACAAGTTACTGAACGATGTAGGTACGGGGTTAAAGCACAAACATCTTTACTGATCAAGAATGACGATAACATATAATATGTGCCCATGTAATGAGGCAGAACGCTGTACAGATGTGTACGCCAGGAATACAAACAGAACTTACATATCAAACGTTGGTAGCGGCAGTAAACAGTAAGACGTAGTTGTGTTAATCAGCAAATGGCAGAGACGACTGAGATGCCCGGGCTGCGTGGACAAAGGTTTTTATACTGCATACCCTTCCTATTGTTTTAGGTTAATGGTCACGCTTGCGTGGGTCGCTCTCTCATTGGCTACCACGTACGCGGCTCAAACTCGCGTCGTGGACCTGCGTTTACACAAAGGGCCTCGGCCCCTAATTCTGCTACAATTCGGTTATTATACATTCTCATATTTCTGTTGCTGTGCATTTTCGTTATCATTATGATCTTTCTCTTTCCCTTCTGTATTACACCAGTCCGACGTACTTTTTAAGCCACGGCAATTTTTTGGCAAAAATGGGAATTGCCACTAAGTCAGTTCAGGTTCAACGGAATTTTGCTCATTTTTGGTATGGGAATGAAGTGTTTGTATTTTTTTTTATTATGCAAATTAGGTAGGTTTTGGCATTATATAGCATATTATATAGACACAGCAGATAACAGTCTGTGGTGTCACACTCGTCTTGTTCGTTTTACAAGATTTCATTGACAATATCTTTAATGCAAAAATTGGTTATTTCCTCTCCACCCTGCGATAAACGTCTATATTAGAGTAAGTGTTTTACAAAACATGTCAGACGCGCATAACCTACTATTATTATATTTCGAACGCCATCGCTAAGAAACATCAAAGCGGGTATAGCGCTATCTACCGTCACAAATTGTGATTCATTTTTGTTTATAAATTATTATTGCGATATACAGATGGCAACCGTGTGCTACCGCCTAGAAAAACTCATACGAAGTAAACACTTCCATGCAATCAATTAACCTTTGACAAAAGTTGTGTTATGAGTAGGGAAACACCATTGTCACGTGGTATATAGCAGCTACGTGGAATAAGCGTATCTTCTCAATCTTACACGTTACACATCGGGAGCTCCGCTTTTAGGCAGTGCCTAAATCTGAATATTATAAAAATGTTAAATGGCGATCATTTAGGTGTAACGCCATCACTCGCCCACATCTCAGACTTTCCCATCTCAAAGATTTATTTTCACATAAAAAATTACACATAATTATCAAGAGTATATAATGGGAGTTCTCCCATATATACTTTTCGTTTCTATAATGTACGTTGATGGTTGCTCAATTAAAACTGACTTCTACTCACTCACTCATTTGTGTCCTTTTTTGTGGTGAGCTACAGTGTCATTGACACTTTCATTCTTCGGCTCATGATGTTGGCATTTGCAGGATCAGCAGCAGAACAGACAGAGGGCGCTATCGAGCGAGGAGCGCCAGTGCCGGTCATACCTGACGCTAGCCAGGGAGACGGTCGATCTGCTTCACTATCTTACTAAACACATTCAGCACGCATTCCTGCGGCCGGTGAGAATATGCCTTCCTGCTGCAAGTAGCATATACACGATCGCTAGACCTAAAAAAAATCTCAGACTAATTTCTCTGATTTCAGTAATAATTCAGTGGTAATTGTATCCCCCGCGACGAAGTCGGCGGGGATACTATGGTTTCATGTCTCTCCAGCCGCCGCCGCCACCGCAAACACTTTCCCTTCCGCTCTATAACTCGACTCGTAATTGACCTAGCGTGACCAAACATGGTCTACTTACACATCTTGGGGAGAAGGTGCGCAGCGTACCAAAACCAGGTCACTTACCCTGCCACTGTGTCTCACTTCCTTCTAACTTACTGCTGTGACACTTCTGCTTACATTCACTTTCTTCTGCAGCTCCTGCAGCGAATCCTCATTGAACATGCTGTTACATTTACACTCGTTTCTTGATGGCATCAGCCTATTAAAATGTGGAATGTAGCATCCTTGATACCTATTTTATCGTGATGCAAAATCTCTGTCCGTTATTACTTTGTTTGCTGTGTTAAAACTTGGTGTAAGTGAGTGCATGCAATGCCAGTGTGTTGATTGCTAGAATGCTGAGGGTTCTTAACATTGGTTACCCTGCTGTCATGTTTGTTGCTGCAGATATTGAGACAACAGGAGCAAGTAGTGAGTTTTATGATAAGTTCAGCATTCGCTACCACATAAGTGTCATCTTCAAGGGACTGTGGCAGAATCCTGGCCATCAGCAAGCAACCATTCAGGAGTCAGCGTGAGTAAGATATAGAAGGCTTTTCTAACCAATTGAATTTATTTCGAAATTTAGCATACCATTGGTCTTCTGGTTATTTACATATGCTTATTTAATATTCTTCAAATGAATTTCTAAATTTAGCATACTATTGGTCTTTTGGTTATTTACATATGCTGATTTCATATTCTTCAATACTTCTACTTTGGTATATGTATATGCAAATGCCCACGTTTGTTATGTATTATATAATGTGTTATACGTATATCATTGAGTATATATTTGTAGTTACCACGATGAAAAAAACTATAGTGTGAAGTAATGGATTTGCAACTGACTGAGGATGCTTGATGCCTCCTATAGGTCTGGTAAGCAATTTGTGAGGTTCGTCAACATGCTCATGAACGACACGACATTCCTCTTGGATGAGAGCTTGGATTCGCTAAAAAAGATCAACGAAATCCAGTCGATGATGGAGAATAAAGAAGAGTGGGACAAGCAATCTCGTGTAAGCAGCCGAAACAATAGAAATTTACGATTTTAAGGTTGATCTTTAATTGCGTAATAGTTTTCTTTTGTGTGAAAGTTTCATTAGTTTTTTTTTTAAATAAGTACAAGCGTAATGATGTTTTATTCATTGAACAGTATTAGTAAGATGTTAAAATCTAAAACGCAATGAGACGAGTCTGCGTAGGTTCGAATGGTTAATCTGTAGTAATCTGTTCCGTGTTGATTAACAAACTAATCCAAACCAAAAAACATTTGCTAAATTTTTAGCTCACCTTGACATCGTCAAGCTGAGCTATTGCCATGGGTCGTCGTCCGTCGTACGTCCGTCCGTTCGTCCGTCCTTCCGTCAACATTTGGCTACGGTTAACGATAACTCAGGAACCGTTTGACCCACATGTTTGAAATTGGGTGTAGTTGTTACTGCTATGGGAGAGGTTTGAACGTCCTATTTTGGAGCACGCCAGTGTAATAATGACTTCCTTAGCCGTCTGTTATCCGTGATCGTATGAGTGGGCTACGTATATTATTAGAGATATCGCTGAACGCATCATACACAAGTTACTGAACGATGCAGGTACGTGGTTAAAGCACAAACATCTTTACTGATCAAGAATGACGATAACATATAATATGTGCCCATGTAATGAGCAGAACGTGTACAGATGTGTACGCGGCATACAAACAGAACTTACATATCAAACGTTGGTAGCGGCAGTAAACAGTAAGACGTAGTTGTGTTAATCAGCAAATAGCAGAGACGACTGAGGTGCCCGGGCTGCGTGGACAAAGGTTTTTATACTGCGTCCTATTGTTTTAGGTTATGGTCACGCTGCGTGGGTTGCTCTCTCATTGGCTACCACGTACGCGGTCAACGCGCGTTGTGGACCTGCGTTTACACAAAGGGCCTGCCCCTAATTCTGCCTACATTCGGTTATTATACAATTCTCATATTTCTGTCTGCTTTATCGTTATTGTTATCATCTTCTCTTTCCTTCTGTATTACACCAGTCGACGTACTTTCGAGCCACGGCAATTTTTTGGCAAAAATAGGAATTGCCACTAAGTCAGTTCAGGTTCAACGGATTTTGCTCATTTTTGGTATGTGAATGAAGTGTTTGATTCGCCGGCGGCCAGCACCGCGTCCCTCGCGGCCTGCACGCCGCGCCACACCTTCTCCGGCGCCTCGTAGCCGGCAGCCCGCCTCCTCGCATCCAGCACCTGGCGCACGCTCTTCTCGAGCGGCTCGGCGGCGCCCCCTGCCGCTGTCGTGCGCAGTCGCAGGAGGTCGTCGATGGCGGCCAGCGACGCGGCGATTGCTGCGGGCGTGCGGTCGCGCTCGTTGTTGCCGACGACAACGAGCGAGATGCCGGCGGCGACGCGCAGACAGTGAGCGACGGCGGGCGTGCACGCCGCCGCGCCGCCGGACAGGTAGACGCCGACGCACTGGTAGTCGTCCTCGGAGACGCTCAGCCGCGGGCTCTGCGTCGTTGAGCGGCCGCCGCTGCGCGAGAACTCGGCGTCGAGGTCCGACCACGTGTGCGAGTAATTGAGCGAGAGGTCGGCGTTCGGCACGAACATCGCGTCGAGCTCAAGCCGCGACGCGGCGGGGGACGCGCGACGCGGCGACGTGGCGGGGGACGCGCGACGCGGCGACGCCGCCGGCGTGTAGAAGCGCTCGCCGCCGCTGTCTGAGAGGCTGCTGCAGCCGCTGCCGTGCCGACGCTCACCCGCGAAGCAGCTCTGCAGCAGCGCGACGAGCATCAGCATGTCGGACGCGTGCAGGCCCGCGGCGCCGCCGCACGAGTACTGCGCGAGCAGCTTGGTGTCGACGACAAGCAGCGCGTGGTGCGCGCTCGCGTCCACGCTCGAGCGCAGCTTGCCGAGCGCGGTCTCGGCGAGCCGCACCGTGCGCGCGCTCAGCGCCTGCTTCGAGCGCAGCCGCTCGACGGCGTCCGCCATGAACGCCTGCTCGTGCCGCTGCAGGTCGGCCCAGGTCGCGAGCAGCGCGGCAACGAAGCTCCAGCGCTGCCGCCGCTCACTCGTGCGCTCGGGCTTGACGATGGCGCCGGCGGCGTGGCCGTAGAGGAAGAGCAGTATGTGGTGGAGCGTGGAGAGCTTGCGCGCGAGGAACGCGTCCGTCTCGTCGCCGTCGCCGTTCGCGGCCATGTACAGCTGCCCGGAGAACTGCCGGAACGTGAAGAGGAAGTTGTTCTCCGTGCGCAGGCACATGTACGGCTGCTGCAGCTGCTGCTGCATGAAGCGGTGCGACACGACCATGGGGCTGAACAGCTGCAGCAGCACGGTGAGATCGACCTCTTCGCTCCCCTCGTCCATCAATCCCGGGTCCAGCAGCTTCAGCTCTTTCGCTCTCTCGTTGATGTAATCAACAAATTCGTCGTCGCCGTGAAAGAACACGATGTCATTGACATCACTGAAGATAAACAGCCCTTTCATCCTTTACCGGTCGTCGCAGTGCAAAGAGCGTATAACAGAAAGTGCAGCTGTGCACAGATTTATTGCCCGACTAAGCAGTCAGGTACCTGTCAAGTCAACAAACACGATAATCCACTAAGTCAGTGACGAAGCATCAAAATACACAAAGTTTTCAGGAAATTTGTCGAACAGTAATATGCCTTTGTCTCTGTTTGTGTCAAGCTCATCAATGAAGCCAAACCAATATATTACAAGGCCAGGTCCAAATCTATTCCAATAGCTCCAGAACTGGTCCTTGAGGTAACATTTGTGGCTCGCTGGGTCACCAAATAAAGCTTTACTTTCGATCCAGTTCACAACATAACCATCCACAGAAATTGGCACTTCAAGTTTAAAATCTGGAGTCTTGTCAAAGCCTCGCTCACGCATGTCCTCCTCTCCTAGGAAGGCAATCTTTTGTTTCTGTACAAAAATTCCAAATTAATAATAGAATTCACCATAATTCTCCAGTTACAAAACACTTGCAGATAAGTGTACGGAAATAACAGTTACTGATGCTGCCACAAAGTACCGAGAGCAGACAATTAAAAATGATACTTTTTAACATAGAATTAGATCTTACAGTCAACTTTTTCAGACCAGCCACTTGTAACAATATTGGGTCACTATCAGTCTAGTGTTGCTAAATATCGCTAAGTGTTGTACCCTGCAGTAGACGTTTATATACAGGGATGGGAATGACAATTTGTGTTTTCAGCTGAAAATAGCCGGGGTCCATTGAAGCAAAGAGCTTGCTAAGGCTCCCGTTCCATTCTGTTTCTTGTATCGGCAAAACAAGTATTCTACAAATCCAATGTTCAAGCAAGCTACCATCGTGGTTACTACGTTTGATACGCGAACTGATCCCAAATATGCAGTAAGGTATAGAGGATTTAGTTGCCATGGTTTCTATTTCATTTTGTTCCTTTTATCAATGAAACAAAACAAACTGCAAATCCAAATTAAAAAGTTAACAGTCTGGTTATTTGATATGTGAAATTATCTGATCCCAAATGCAGTAAACATTTATTTGCAGAGAACACATTCAATAAAACGCGAGAGAATCAATGCCTTAAGTAATGATGTAGTGCAGCCAACAGCTGATCCTACCCAGTTTCCTCTCTTCAAAGGGACAATATAATCTCATCAGTGACTTGTCTTATTTGTGTGGGGATTTCCTTAGTGTCTGTATTTAAATATTAAATCTGACATCGGTTATTTCTTAATATTATTGTCAGTATAGTAGATGCATACATGTAATATTCCACAGTGTATTTGGAAAATGTAATTGTAATAATATCTGATGTATTTCAGAGGTCTTATAGGAAGGAGTTATTTGATGATGCAGTGGTTAGGATGACTAGATCCTTGATCAAGACGGAGGCAGAGATTGCACAGTTCCGCCATCTTTCATCGAAAATAGATACAATTTTGATTGCCAAGTTGAAAAAGGATATTGACTACAGTGATGCCCCAGATGAATTCAGAGGTAAGCTGAATAAACACAGCATTTCATTCCACACATGACATATACACAAAATAGGATCAAATGATAAATTGCTAAACGTTTGTTAAAATTATAATTAAGTGCCTAAGATACTGATGCTATTTCTTCCAGACCCACTAATGGATACCATTATGGTAGATCCAGTTGTGCTGCCACCTAGTGGTACAATAATGGATCGACCCATAATACTGAGGCATCTACTAAATTCCTCAACAGATCCATTTAATAGACAACCACTCACTGAAGACATGCTAGAACCCGGTAAGTTAGAAATAAAAAAGAAGCTGCATCGGAAGTTTTTTGTTGCTGAGAAATGTCAGTGGAATTATTCTACATAATCTCACATTTCCCAACTAACTTTCTATTGTTGTAATGCTTATTAAATGTTCAAAATATTTGTATATTGATGATTGTGACTTAGACTGTCATTAATTTTATGATTTTAGCTACCGAACTTAAAGAGAAAATTGTCAACTGGATGAAGGACAAGGTGGTCATTTAGGAAAGCTCGTGCACATGCATATTGCATGGAAAGTCCCACCCTCCCTCGTCCACAATAGTTATCTGTAATTTCCCCAAATTCCAGTGGATTGGTCATCAGTAATTACTATGAGATTGGTTGCCATTAGCTGGGATTTGTATGAAGCACCACCATGTTGTTTAACCAACGTGTGATTGTGAGTGAACTCCTTCTGTAACTATCAACAAAAAACATTTTTATCATGGGATGTGTAGATATACTTAGATATACTGACCCCTTTCGTCTGAAGCATGTTGCATAGAATTTTTGTTGTGTTGGGTATGCAGTATTGGGTTAAAATTGTAACAATCGGAATGTTGTTCCCTTTTAATATATATGGATTGTTACCAGCCGACTGTCCTTTCAAATGAGTGTTGACATACAGACAATTATTGTACAAACGTATGGAGTAATAAGGTAAATAATTCAACTTGGAATGGCAAGGCAGTAAATACGTTTATCTATAAAAAAAGGTAGCACTCAGCTTCACTTCCCTCACGTTAGTTAGTATCTACTAAAGTAGAGGTAACTACTTGTGTGTATGCATGCACCTGTGTAAGTATACTTTTCTTTGCGCACTTTCTTTCGAATTTTTTTATTCAATTTTTTGAAAAGGGGCATTCAAGGGGAAGCCCACTGTGCAGCTATTGCTTGTTGTCTGCCAATGTGCCGGCACGGTGGGGCTAACAGGGTTAGAAGTGGACGTGATAAAGGCAGTGGTGAACATGATAAGGCCCTCTGTTCGGTACCATGTAGCACCGCAGGATCCCACTTGCACCTGAAGAAGCATAAAGATACAACGAAACGTTGTGTTCGCTTGGGCGTGATACCTCTAGGATACCTTCGTCTTTGCAATTTATCTCTAGGATAGTACGCTTTAATATTCGAAGTAGATGTGCATAATTTATAATCTCAATATTTTTCAGGCCAGTTTTTCATGTTGCAGCAACACGTAGTTGGTTTCCCGAATTTTTCTTTTCTGGATGTGCTATGTTGCAGCTGTATCGTATGTTAACTTAAATAAATTAATTCGAAAATGTATGATGGTCGGTTTACTTGTGTTTACTTGCAGCCTGTTTATTAATTATTACTATTATGCAGAGCACCATGTGTGAGACACAGGATGGGTGCAAATTTGTTAGAACACAAGTTATGCAAAGGAAACACACATAGAAACAACACTTTTATACGAATTATAACGTTTTTATTAGGATTCCTAGTACTATTCGAATTTGCAGTCACTCCACAGACCAAATTTGTAAAACATCAGTACAAAAATAACTGCGATAATGCAATTTACCTTACTTCTTACTCTTCATTTTATATTTCATGTTGCTTGCCTAGAACATTCTCTGTTACATATATACAGATATTCAGAAGTTATTCAATATTAGTTCAAGATTTTATGGACTGACTAGCATTATTTAGATTATACGTTCTGTAAATTATTTGCCACCACAGTCAATTACCAGTATTATAAAATAAATTCTAACATAAATTTGCACCATCATAATATCAAAAGTACATCAACAGGTTAATGTACTCCTGATAAAAGCATACATAAAGCACCATTTTACACATCTATGAATAAACAAAATTCCTGAAAAATGCATTTCATTAATATTTATCAGCTTAATTTATAATATTTAGAATTTCATCAGGACTCACATGTAGTATATGTTCATATGTGCCTTTTCACCACGAACATGCAACTAGTCCTTAAGCCTACCTACCAAAACTTTATTCCTTGCTGAGGTCATATCTGAGCACTATCAATGTAAATATCGTAAAACACTTATGAACAAATATGTTCAAGAATGGTTGTTTCCATCACTGTGCATGTCATCTACTGGGTGTGTTCGTCATTGTGCGTTTCTTGGCATTTCTTGCCGTGTCTTCACCGCTAGGTGTGTGTTTGTACGTGCCTATGTAAGGGCGTGTGTGTTTGTACGTGCCTATGTAAGGTCGTGTGTGTTTGTACGTGCCTATGTAAGGTCGTGTGTGTTTGTACGTGCCTATGTAAGGTCGTGTGTGTTTGTACGTGCCTATGTAAGGGCGTGTGTGTTTGTACATGCCTATGTAATAGGCCGTGTGTGTTCCTCGTACGTGCCTATGTATAGGCGGTGTGTGTTTGTACGTCCCTATGGTAAAGGTCGTGTTGTGTTTGTACCTGCCTATGTAAGGGCGTGTGTTGGTTTGTACTGCTATGTAAGGTCGTGTGCTGTGTTGTACGTGCCGCTATGTAAGGTCGTGTGTGTTTTGTAAGCTCCCTATGTAAGGTCGTGTGTGTTTTGTACGTCCCTGTTGAAGGTCGTGTGTGTTTGTATCTCCTTATGTAAGGTTGTGTGTTGTGTGCTAGTAGCCGTTTCGTGTCCTATGTAAGGTCGTGTGTGTTTGTACGATGCCTATGTAAGGTCGTGTGTGTTGTGTACGGTTCGCTATGTGAGGCGTGTGTGTTTGTACGTCCCCTATGGTTAAGGCGTGTGTTTGTACGTGCCTATGTAAGGTTGTGTGGTTTGTAGTGCTATGCTAAGGGTCGTTGTGGTTGTGTAAGTGCCTATGTAAGGTCGTGTGTGTTTGTACATGTCGCCTATGTAAGGTCGTGTGTGTTTGTACGTGCCTAGTGTAAAGGTCGTGTGTGTTTGTACGTGCCTAATGTAAGGCTCGTGTGTGTTTGTACGTGGCCTTATGTAAGGCGTGTGGTGTTTGTAGCGTGCCCTTATGTAAGTCGTGTCGTGTTTGTACGTGCCTATTGAAGGTCGTGTGTGTTTTGTATCGTCCTATGTAATTGGCCCGTGTGTGTTTGTAGCATGCCTATGTAAGGTCGTGTGTGTTGTGTACGTGCCTATGTAGGTCGTGTGTGGTTTGCGTACAATGCTATGTAAGGTCGTGTGTGGTTTTGTAAACGTGCCTATGTACGGTACGTGTGTGTTTGTACATGCCTATGTAAGCGTCGTTGTGTTTGTAACATCCCTATGTAAGGCCGTGTGGTGTTTGTACGTGCTATGTAAGGTCGTGGGGGGGGGGGGGGGGGGGGTGTGGTTGTACGCCTATGTAAGGTGCGTGTTGTTCTGTACGTGCCTTATGTAAGGTCGTGTGTGTTGTTAAACATGCCTATGTAAGGCCGTGTGTGTTTGTCGTGCCTATGTAAGGTCGTGTGTGTTATGTACGTGCCCTATTGTAAGTGTCGTGTGTGTTTGTACGTGCCTATGTAAGGTCGTGTGTGTTTGTACATGCCTATGTAAGGTCGTGTGTGTTTGTACGTGCCTATGTAAGGTCGTGTGTGTTTGTAACGTGCCCTATGTAAGGTTGTGTGTGTTTGTAAAGTGGCCCTATGGTATAGGTCGTTGTGTGTTTGTAACATATCGACACTATGTAAGGTCGGTGTGTGGTTTGGTAGTGGCCTTATGTAAAGCACCGTGTGGTGTTTGACGGTGCCTATGTAAGCGTCGTGTTGTGTTTGTACTGCCTATGTAAGGTCGTGTGTGTTTGTTACGTGCCTAAATGTAAGGTCGCTGTGTGTTTGTAAGCGTGCCTATGTAAGGTCGTGTGTGTTTGTACGTCGCCTAATGTAATGGTCGTTGTGTTTTGTACGTGCCTATGTAAGGTTGTGTGTGTTTGTAGCGTGGCCTATCGTAAGGTCGTGTGCTGTTTGTACGTGCCTATGTAAGGGTGTGTTTGTTTGTACATGCGCCTATGTAGAGGGCGTGTGTGTTGTTGTACGCTGCCTATGTAAGGTCGTGTGTGTTTGTAACGTGCCTATGTAAGGTCGTGATGGTGTTTGTACGTGCCTATGTAAGGGCGTTGTGTTTGTACGTCCCTATGTAAAGGTCGTGTGTGTTTTGTACGTGCCTATGTAAGGTCGTGTGTGTTTGTACGTGCCTATGTAAGGTCGTGTGTGTTTGTACGTGCCTATGTAAGGTCGTGGTGTGTTTGTACATGCCTATTGTAGGTCGTGTGTGTTTGTACGTGCCTTATGTAAGGTCGTGTGTGTTGTACATGCCTATGTAAGCGTCGTGTGTGTTTTACGTGCCTATGTAAGGTGTGTGTGTTTGTACGTGCCTTATGTAAGGTCGTGTGTGTTTGTACGTGCCTATGTAAGGTCGTGTGTGTTTGTACATGCCTATGTAAGGTCGTGTGTGTTTGTACATGCCTATGTAAGGCCTGTGTTTGTCAGTGTATGTAAGTCTGTGTTACAGTGCGCATATGTAAGTCGCTGTGTGTTTGTGACGTCGCCTGATGTAAGGTCGTGTGGTGTTGTACGTGCCTATGATAAGGTCGTGTGTGTTTGATCGTGCCTATGTAGTAGGCTCGTGTGTGTTTGCTATGTGCCTATGTAAGGTCGTGTGTGTTTGTAAGTGCCTCTGTAAGGTCGTGTGTGTTTACCGCAGAACATTCAGCACCATGCTGATCGCACCGCTGTGAGACTCAGCCCACAGTTCAGCAGCCAGCTGCTGACACTGCTGCAGGATCCTAGTGAGTGGAAGCGAGGTGTGGTGCAGACACAGCAGCTCGTAGCAGCAACATCACGCTCTCAAACAGCTCTCGCCTCATGAGCCTGTTAACAACAAACACTAGTGTCATACAACTGCCAACAACAAACACTAGTGCCATACAACTGTCAACAACAAACACTAGTGCCGCACAAACTGTCAAGCAACAAACGACTAGTGTCATACAACTGCCAACAACATAACACGGAGTGCGAAATACAACTGTCAACAACAAAGAAAAAAAAAAAAAGAAAAACGCCCCACTAGTCCCCATAAAACTGTCAACAACAACACTGAGTGCCATACAACTGTCACAAGCAAACACTAGTGTCATACAACTGTCAATCAACAAACACTAGTGTCCATGACAACTGTCAACCTACAAACAGTTTTCTAGTGCGCATAAAACTGTCAACACAACACTAGTGCCCATACAACTGTCAACACAGAACACTAGTGTCATACAACCTGGCCAACAACAATACACTAGTGCCATTACAACTGTCAACAACAAACAACTATAGTGTTTATACAACTGTCAAACAAGCAAACACTAGTGTCATACAACTGCCAACAACAAACACTAGGTTGCCCATAAAACTGTCAAAAACAAAACACTAGTTGCCATAACAACTGTCACACAAACACTAGTGTGCCAATCAACGTTGCAACTAACAAAAACTAAGTGCCGTAAGCAAACTGTCAACAACAAACACGTAGTGCCATACAACTGTCAACGAACAAACACTAGTTGTCCGATATCCAACTGTCAGTCAACAAACACTCCAGTGACATACAACTGTCAACAACAAAATACTACGTGTCCACACTGTCAAACACAAACACTAGTGTCAATACACTGTCAACGAACATACCTAGTGCCCATACAACTGTCAACAAACAAACCACTAGTGTCATATCAACTGTCAACAACAAACACTACGTGAACATACAACGTCAACAACAAACACCTAGTTGTCAAATACAACTGGTCTACAAACAACCTAGTGCCGGTACAGCAATCAACAACAACAACACTTAGTGCCCGTACAACTGTTTCCAACAACAAACCACTAGTTGCCATACTAACTGTCAACAACAAACACTGGTGGCCATATCAACTGTTCAACAACAAACACTGTAGGTGTCGGCATACAGAGACTGTCAACAACAAACACTGAGTGCCGTACACTCAGTGTTCCATTTAGGAACGCGTCCCATCACGCCGAATTGACGCGTTCTACTCTCTGCTTTGTTCGGGACCGGTTAAATTGGCTCAAGTATATTTTTTTTAAAATAAAAAAAATTATTTATTTGCCATTTAGTTTGGCCTCTAATTATTCTCCAAAGTCGACGTGTTTTTAATGATCCTACTACTAATAAATCAGTTTGAGTAATTTGTGGACGTTATGTTGCAGCAAGAAGCTTCTTTTTTTCCTTTTTGAGTAAGCTATTTTCCGTACTTAATTGTCTAACTGCTTATTAATTACTTCAAATCGTGGTCCACATAATTTGGAAACTTCTGGCTGACTCTGAAAGGGGGTGTACCAGGCAGAAACGCAAATTTGGAAAAATAAGGACGCATACTGCTAATCCAAGATGTGTCTGTTTACCTGGCAGCTTCAGAATACGCCAGCTTGCCATCTCAGAGACATCTAATTTAAAAAAAAAATTTTGGCGGGGTACCCCCAAAACCGCACTTCCCCACGCCCTCATGCAAAAGCATTTCGGCCTGTTACTATAAAAGATAATGAAAAAAAAACCTGACATAACTGTCAAACAACAAACACATAGTGCCGTACAACTGCCAACAACAAACACTAGTGCCATACAACTGTCAACAACAAACACTAGTGTCATACAACTGTCAACAACAAACACTAGTGTCATACAACTGTCAACAACAAACACTAGTGCCGTACAACTGTCAACAACAAACACTAGTGCCATACAACTGTCAACAACAAACACTAGTGTCATACAACTGTCAACAACAAAAACTAGTGCCGTACAACTGTCAACAACAAACACTAGTGACATACAGCTGTCAACAACAAACACTAGTGTCGTGCAACTGCCAACAACAAACACTAGTGCCGTACAACTGTCAACAACAAACACTAGTGTCATACAACTGTCAACAACAACAACACACTTGTGTCATACAACTATCAACAACAACACACTTGTGTCATACAACTGTCAACAACACACTAGTGTCATACAACAGCTGTCAACGACAAACACTAGTGTCATACAACTGTCAACGACAAACATGAATCTTATACACTGGTTAACAACAATCAGTAGTGGCATGCAACTCCACAGACACTAATCATATGTGATTAACCTCAGTCAAACCAATTTTGCACACTGAAGCTCTATGAACCTAATTATCAGATACTGATTGTGAGGCTCATTTCTTCATAATCTTTTTGTTCTGATCATAAACGTTGCTCTGGATTGAATAAGGGCAGATTATGCTGAACTATTAGATAAGCACTGTAACCTTATAGCCATTAAAATCCATGGTCACGAGGCTTTACCTGTAAATATCAGAACCCAACATGCCGGGTTCTGAGTGGCGCAGGGCACTGCAGTTCGCCAAGTTTGCTGGCAGAGGATTCCCGCTGCCGTCCTCAAACCAGAGGAAGTACGAGTAGTATATGTCATGCATCCTCCATCTGCTGGATGAACACCCTCGCTTCAGATACTTGTGTGCTTGCTTCATTGCAGCCCACACCTGCATAACAGTGCCACTACACTATACTAACCCGAACATAGACCAGGCAATCAGTCCTAGGTCTCAAGATCTATCGATGGATCTCAAGATCTATGGTTGAGAATGAAAACAACATTGCGTAGGAACAAGGTGCTATATATAATGACTGCTCCAAAAAAACAATTTGAATTGAGATATAAACTGGAGTTACAGTAATACGAAGTTCATGCGAAATTTACCTTGTCTTTTAGATGTGCATCGCTTTTACTTCCATGCAAGCTGGGAGCGGTCAGCTGATGAGACAGTCTATCAACGTATAAGAAGTGAAGAAGTCCCGGATATTTCTGCTGGAAAGACGTCATCATCAGATTGTTTTTCGCGCTTACCACCAACTGTTCTCGGCAATCGTGCAGACTGTCGCGAATGACGCCCTGGATCGAGAAGACTGCCTCCAGGTCGACGGGGCACGGGAGACGCGCGGGGAAGTAGAGTGCGCGATGCAGCTCGCGCAGCGCCGATCGCAGCCCCTCGAGCGCGTTCTCGCCGCCGTCAGAGAGCGCCACCGTGGCGCCGCTGGCGCGTGCTACGCAAGGCCCGGATATAGTACGCGATCGATCGGAAAATAATTTCGCTAGCTCGGCCCAGGCTCTGCCGTACGTTGCACGTGTAGGCAAACGTAGCGTCGAATTTGTGTTCCTTTCTCGCCAAGGAATTCTGTTTATAATACTATATATAACCAAAGGTGGTTGTCGCGAGCTGCTTGCTTTGGTGACTTTAAAAAGCATAAAACATAATGTCGCGCATCCCCCCAGCTCCTGGTGTTAGGAATATTATATCGTCGCGCAAGGAGGATTTTTGGGCACCTTTGCGTCTAATAGCAAATAGCGTTTCCTTCCTGATGTCTGATCACTGTGGGGCTCACAGACTTGCCTGGCAGGCAGGACAAGCTGCCTAAAGTTGTTTCATAATTTGAATAAAATATCTTACTTAGTGACATAATACAAATTTTGAAACGCTGGACAATGAAATCTCTATATTATATAATAAAGGTTAGCCTTTGGGACAGTGTGGAATGTACATAAATATTTTTGTTTGGCGAAGTGAATAAATTTATGTATGATTATAAATTCTAGTGTTATGATAATGACAGTGCAAGATATACTCCGGCAGTGTACCTTAATATGCCTCTGCTATAATTCTGTCTGTTGATGTGTCCCTAATGTGCAATTTTATAGCCTTGCTATCTTGCTAAATTGTGAAATTCAAAAGCTTCCTGAAGAGCCCCTGACCCAGGCTTTTGCCCTGGACCTGACTGCCCCCCTCCCCGCCCGCTATCCCCCCCCCCTGCGGGACCCCGGGCTATTTTCAGCTGAAAACACAATTGTCATTCCCATCCCTGTAATATAAACGTCTACTGCCGCAGGTACAAATTACTTTAGCGATATTTTATGCAATACTACTAGACTGATAGTGACCGCAATATTGTTACAAGTGGTCTGGTCTGAAAAAGTTTTGACGGTAGACTATTCTTATGTTAAAAAGTTCATTTTTAATTTCTGCTCTCGTAACTTTGTGCAGCAATCAGTCACTGTTATTTCCGTTACACTTATGCAGTGTTTTGTAACTGAGAATATTGTGAATCTATATTAATTGAATTTTGTACAGAAACAAAAGATTGCCTTCCTAGGAGAGGAGGACATGCGTGAGCGAGGCTTTGGACAAGACTCCAGATTTTAAACTTGAAGTGCCAATTTCTGTGGATGGTTATGTGTGAACTGGATCGAAAAGTAAAGCTTTATTTGGTGACGCAGCGAGCCACAAAGGTTACCTCAAGGACCGG